TTGGCTTCAATAACCACCGAGAGACCATTGTTTTTGGAGCTGCATTGATGTATGATGAAACAACCGATTCGTTTATATGATTGTTTAAAACTTTTTTAGAGGCAATGTCAAATAAACATCCAAAAAATATTTTCACAGATCAGGATGCAGCAATGGCTAAGGCTATTTCATATGTGATGCCTAACACATATCATAGGCTATGCACATGGCATATGATGCAAAATGCTGTAAAACATATGAGTGGCATTTTTAGCGGTCCTGGTGGGGTGAGAAGTGTTTTGGGAAAGTTTATAGATGAGTATGAGGAGGAAGAGGAATTTTTTGCAGCTTGGAATGCCATGTTAGATGAGTTTGATGTTCATGATAATTCATGGCTGCAAAGCATTTTTCATTTAAGGAAAATATGGGTTAGGGCATATGTTAGGTGGACATGGTCAGTAGGGATGAAGAGCACACAACTTAGTGAGAGCTTAAATGCTGATTTGAAAGAGTACTTGAGATCAGATTACAATTTGATTCAATTTTTCATTCACTTTGAAAGGGTGCTTAATGAGAAGCGATATAAGGAATATGAAGCTGAGTATGCATTGTCATATAAGTTGCCTAGGATAAAAGTCCAAGTTCTGATGTTGACTCAGGCAGGAGATGTTTACACAAAAACTATCTTTGAAGAATTTCAAGATGAATATGTGGGTTCACTTGAGTTATACGTAGCAAATTGTGTTCACAAGGATGATTGTTTGGTTTATATTGTCAAAGCATATCGACAATCTACAATGCGTGAAGTAAAGAAAGACAAAGATGGTAATTTGTCTTGTTCTTGTAGGTTGTTTGAGATGAAAGGGATATTGTGTAGTCATGTTATTAAGGTTCTTTAAGATGAAATGATCACAATGGAAATTCCAAGCCAATATATCCTGAAAAGGTGGACCAAATTAGCAAGAGCTGAAATTGTCCAAGATTACAAAGGGCGACATTCAAGCTGACCCTAAGTTGGAACAGAGCAGCAGATACAAGTCATTGTGCTCCCTCTTTACTATGATTTCATCCCAGCCATCTGAATTGGAAGAAACATATGAAGATTGTGTTTAGGAAGGGAAAAAATTGCTTGCATTTGTTCAAAATAAGTTGCGTATACGTATTACCAATGGACCACTAAACTTAAATGATGCTAGCTCTACAATAAGAACGAATGAGGGCAGTGAAAATGTCATTCAAGCGAAGGGACTGAAGAAAAGGATTGACCCCATTCGTAGAAGGCGACGGATTAAAAGTAGCTTGGAAAAGGCATTGGAGACTTCAAGAAAGAAAAAGCAACGCGCTTAAGTATTATTTAATTTTTTTTTATGATCTTTACATTCTTTAAAATTTTCAATTTATGTTACTTGGTTTCATCTAAGTTTTTATCTTGATAGGATGTACCAGCATCTTCAAATATGCTCCCACATATTCTGACAACCCTCACCTCTTATTAGCATTAAATTGTGATTAAGCATGATAAGTAATTGATTAAGATGAAATCCTAAATTGTTGTGTGAATGTGTTGTTTTAAATGCATTTCTATCTGTTTGTCATTGAATGATTTGTTCATGTTTTAATTTCGAATTGCGAATTGAAAGCTTTATCGGCGACCGATTCAAAAATTAATTGGTGTTTTATGCTAATTAGGAATTGTAGAATTTTATGGTAGGTTTAATTAAAATTTGATTTGGAATGATTAAATTAGAATTATTAATGCTAAATTAATTGAGTTTAGGTTATCTACATAATTGCCCTTGAGTGGGCTCCCTCAAAAGCTATTGTTTTAATTCCCATTACTTACATGTTTGGCACCACTCTTCAGCCATCTTCTAGACCAAACTGTGAGAGAGAGAGAGAGAGTTGGAAGAAAATTGATTCATCAAGAGTTTGGCTTGAAATTTAGAAGAGATTGAAGGAGACCTGAAAAATTAGGCTTCTACATTTGGAATTCAAGACTTAAGGTAAGAAATTCATCCCCTTAAATATGAATTTAAGTTGTTACTTGCATGGTTCATGGGAAAATTGACGATTAGAGTCAAGCATTAGCTTAAAGTGTTGATTTGAGAGTCTATTCATACATGCATGTCCATATCAAGGAGTTTTGAAGTTGTTTTGCATGAAATTCTTCCATGCATGTCCAGATTATAGTTGTAATCTAGGGATTCATCATGTTTTTTGGATGAATGGCTCATTTGATCATGTGTTAGAAGCTTTGAATTCAAATAAACACATGCATGGCATATTTTCATCATGTTCTTGAATTTTGGGTTGAGTTTGTGTTCAATTGGCATACTTTTGGGCTTTGATTTTATAAAATGATCTTCAAAACATGTTGTATTATGAGTTTCTAAGTGTTTTCCAGAAAATTGGCTCAAAAGGATGAGTTTTGGTATGTTTGATTCTTGGTTTGAGCTTTGGGAGCAAATTTGGAAAACCCAGATTTTGGCTTCTATGCTCGAGCGAAGGATTCCACGCTCAAGCGACCACCTTTGTTCTCAGACTTTGGCTCGAGCGACGGAATGCTGGCTCGAGCGTAGATTGCAAGCTCTCAGGTTTTTGCGTGTGTAGACGCATGCTCGAGCGACGAGACCTACGCTCGAGCGAGGAATTGTGTCTCATGCTCGAGCGAGCATCGAGTGGAGAATTTCAGCAACCAGTACTTTTTGCATTTTTACAGACCGCTTGAGCAACCTCTCTGTTTTAGTAAGCTCGCTCGAGCGGAGAAAGCTATGCTCGAGCGAGACCTCTGTTTTCAGCAAATTTTGAAAAGTGTTTTAAAGTACATTTTTGCATCCTTATTCCATCCTAGGCATTCCTAGGCCATGTTTAAAGCATCCTAATGAGAATAATGATATAAAACCACACCAAGTCAAGTTAAGGGGCTAGGTTACTAATCCCTAGTGTGTAATTTAGTGTTTGTTCGTTCTACAACTGTGTAGGGTTGGCACCCGAGAACACTGATTAGCCTGCCTATAGCCTAGTAATCTGTGAGTAACAATGTTGTAAAAATACGTTCAATTATAATTATTTCTGAACGACTGACTGTATTGCTTTCTCAAATGAAATTGTTTATTGAATGAATGTTTGTCCTATTTGTAAACTGTACTTGTGGCACCCATAGCAACTTGCTGTTACTGTTACTGTTACTGTTATTGTCATTGCTACTGTACTGTTACTGTTACTACTACTGTTACAGAGATCTCTATCAGTTCCAATGCTTGGGACTACTATTGTTTACTATTTGATGGCCGTCAATTGACTGTTCGGTCTATTAAGATCTACTGTACTATTTTGCTATTGGATGTACCACGTATGCCTACAATGATTTCTAATCGATTGATATGGCATGAAATATGAGCCACTGATTGAATAACTGATCCACTGATGCAAATAACTGTTTTAATTACTAAAAGGACATTCATTCTTAACATCTTTACACAGTTGTTATTCACTAGGCTTTAGTTCACAGTTTATATATGTATGTAGGTGGCCAGGCACTAGACCGAAGCTAGAAGCGTCAAGTTAAGCTCATGTTTTGTCAAGCCAACCATTGTGCCTCACTTCGAGGTTTCGAGTCTGTTCAAGCCAAGGCTGTTTTGGGGTGTTCCGGATTCACCCTTCTGTCTCTGTTATGTAATGAATGTTTAAGACTTTTGACTGTACAGTTATGGTAAAGGGATTGGATCCCTAACCTGTATGTTATGTGTATGGTTATGAATGTGGACTAGTCCATAAAAGTCCTTTTCCATTCAGATTTTCACAGCTCATTGGACATCTTTTATTTACTGTTTGGCTTCCGCCAGCCCTTTACTCTATACTATTGTTATTACTGTTAAGCAGGCCTTTGGTAATCACGGATTACTGGCCGGTTACGATACTAAACCCTTAGGGGCGGATTTGGGTCGTGACACATATGATGCCACCATATATTCAAGTACCAACTTCAATGCAGGTAATACTTATTTTTTTGTGTTGTTGTCTCTACATTTTTAAATTTATTCGAGTTCTTTTCAAGAAATTTCAATTTCTAGGATGTACATGTATCTTCGAATATACTCCCACATATGAGGCAACCATTAGCCAAAGTACCAAATTCAATGTCTTGGACATGGAATGGAGAGCCTCAATATGCCAACTTCTGAGCTTTACTTCAAGGATCTACTTTGCTTAACCATCACAATGCTTGACTAACACACATTACAATCAGGTATGTAACATGAATTATTGTGGATATACTTCAATTCTATACTTTGAACTCATTCTGATTATGTTTTTTACTTCATAGGTTCCCAATCTAAACATTATTCAGAATTCCACTACACCAATATATCCAGAAATTCTTGGAGACCGATGAAGATTGTTGCAAGTGAAAGATTTTTGTTAACATTAAATTTGGGAATGTTTATTGTGAACATTAAATTTGGGAATGTTTATTGTGAACATTAAATTTGGGAATGTTTATTGTGAACATTAAATTTGGGAATGTTTATTGTGAACATTAAATTTGGGAATGTTTATTGTGAACATTAAATTTGGGAATGTTTATTGTGAACATTAAATTTGGGAATGTTTATTGTGAACATTAAATTTGGGAATGTTTATTGTCAATTTGGATTGTGAATATTTTTATTGCTATACGGTCCATTGAATCGTAGAAGTGATTTTTTTTGGGTATGAAATTTTATTTTTGGGACAATGAAGAATATCTCGCAAGAGTTGATTTTGTAGATATTGTTGTTGATAAGCATATTTGATGAGGCGGATATAAGATTGTTTATAAGGATGTATTGCAGGACAACACTAATGTGGTTGAGTTGAATTCACTGAGATTGTGCAATTGGATTGTTATAAAATCATTGAATTTGCCAAAGGAATAGAAATTGGTCCATCTATTCTGAAAGATGACAAATCAAAATTTCATCTTCAAATGATAGCAGAACTTCTAATGTGAGACTAGATCATTGACATTTTCATGGTTTGATATCTTCCTTTTGGTGGTTGATCCTGTACAAGTTAATTTAATTCTTGTTTCAGGTGTGATGCTGTTGCACTTGAAGATGCACTACTAAAGCGAGTAATGATCACCCCAGAAGAAGTTATTAAGAGAACTCTTGATCCTGTTGGTGCAACATTTAGCAGGGATGGCTTGGCTAAGACAATGTATTCCCGCTTGTTTGACTGGTAAGATAAGATTGTTTGGATTATTGCTTTCACTCATATGGTTGTTTCTCAGGAGGTTTCTTGTTGCTGGGAATAACAAAAAAGTTTTTTTGAGGTGCTGATATGATGCTAAGGCTGCCTAATTTTTATTATATTCAGGTTGGTTGATAAAATTAATGTTTCAATTGGGCAAGATCCTAACTCGAAATCTTTGATTGGGGTTCTCGACATCTATGGTTTTGAAAGCTTTAAGACTAATAGGTGAGGGTCAGTATTTAGAGAAGTATGATCTGATAGTGAAATTAGCTATTCAATTATTTTGACTGAAGGTTTAATATATTCATCATGGGCCCAGTTTTGAGCAATTTTGTATTAATTTCACAAATGAGAGGCTGCAGCAACATTTCAACCAGGTAAATGTTCATATTATTTTATAATATTATTCAAATCCACTTTCTCAACTTACTGTCGAAGGTTGTGGTGTCATTCAGCATGCGTTCAAGATTAAGCAAGAAGAGTGCAAAATTCGCCTGACCGGTTGACCTGCCGGACATTCGGCGGGCCAACCGGCGGTCAACTAATTTTTTTTTTTAATATAAAAATTAACTTGTTGGGATTTTTTTTGGCTTAAAATTTAATTTTGGGTTTGAAATTTTTTATTAAATTAAATCATTTATCTATTTTATTTATTAAAAGTGTTGAATCATTCCGTTAGTCACCTTTTGTTAGCCCAAAAAGACTAATTCCGGTGTGGTTTTGTTAACTCAGCAACTCCATAGACGTGGCCTCCTTGGTGCCTTCCGATTTGCCAAATGCCACGCGTCTCCATCTGGTGAAATGGCTGGAGAAAGCCGGACTGAAGAGTGTTGGAGAAGAAGGAGATCCCAAAACATTGGCCACATTTGAAAAGTCTATTATTTTAGTAAATTATTTTAATAAAATAAAATTTTTATATTAAAAAAGATGGTTAGATTTTTTTTTTAAGGGGCTGAATTTTCTCTAGTTTGTGATGAGATTAGAGAGTATTGTTAGGTTTATAAGGCCTATCATGGATCCCGTTTCGATAATCTGAACCATTCAATGTATAGAACTCGTCGAGTATTATAGGTTTATAAAAAATCATATTGATCGGATATCGATAGTTACGTGATCAAATCAGTTTTGTATAAAAAAATAAACAGTGAAAAAATAAACGGTTTATCGAAATCTGATCTAATGAGATAGCTATCTATATCTGATCAACGTAATTGTTTATAGGCATATAGTACTCGACGAGTTCTACACATTGAACGATTCGGATTATCAAAAACAGGACTCGTGGTGGGCTCCCACGGGTCCAACAGTACTCTCCAGTCCGATCACAGACTGGAGGGAAGCCCAAGCCCAACCCTTTTTATAATTAGATGTAATATTTGTGAGAGAAAAAATAAAATAATTATAGATTTGATATGCCAATTTATCTTATTGATTATTTTAGTTTATTTTGTTTTTTTGTAAATTTTAATCTAAAAAAATCATAAACCCACTCCCCAAAGAAGGCCTTAGTGAAATAATAGCCCATTTGGCAACTGACTCTTTTGAGATTGGTGGTTTTTTTAGTTACAGAAAATAAAATAAACTAAAAAGTCAATAAGATAAAATGTCACGTCCAAATTATAATCATTCACTTTTTCTCTCACAAAAGTTAAAAAAGCCAAAAAAACAATCCAAACGAACTTTTTAACCGGGATTAAGGCCTTGTTTGGGAACAAGTTATTTAGTAATTTTTTAGTTTTTTAGCTAAAATATGAGGTAAAAAAAAATTAGTATGTTTAATTTTTTTAATAATTTTTTCTCTTTTAGACTAAAAATATTACATGCTAAACGAGGCCTAAAACAGTTAAAAAGTCAAAAAATAAAAATAAAAATCCAACTTCCCATACGAAGCCAATGTAACAGGGGACTTTGCCATGAGTATGCAATTTTCAAAATTCACCCATACAGACTTTTGTTTTCAAATTATCCAGGTGCATTTGTCTTGTGAAATGATGCTATATTCAAAGTTTATTTAATTAGAAAAGTATATAATAAACGTATTTTTTAATTAATAAGAGATTATTTATAAGCATTAACAAAAATTGTATGAAACTTAACAATTTAAAGTACGTAAAAAAAATTCAATAACACACCTGCAAGCTTAACAACGCCAATAATCCCAACATCCGTATAAGAGGTTACTTGATAATGTGAAAGAAAGAAGTAATTTAAGAAAGTGCTAAATTCTGTTCTTTTTTTTTTTTGTTGGAGGTGCGAAAAGTAATTTGTTATCAAGTTAGACGGCATTTGATAAAACTAAAAGCTAAGGGAAATTCTATTTGCACATCTTCAATACTCTCAATATACATTATTACATTTTTTGTTATATTACGATTTTGTCCCACAGTAAAATTATCTTTTTGGACAAATTTCTAATCTCTAATCTCTCAACACACATCATCATCATCACTAGCCTCGCCACCTTCGGCTATAATCCTCAATCAACAACACCACAACTCCTCTCTTCCACTACCATCGCAGTCCAATCTCCACCGTTGGACATCGCTATCACCAACAATTCCTACGACCATAACCAACATGGAGAGATCTAGAAAACACAGATCTAGGGTTTGAAGAAAACAAAAAAAGAGAAGAGATAAGGCTAGCTATGATGGATGCGATGGTTGATGCAACTGACTTTTTACCTCCATCTATTATCCCTAAGCAACCACGATTACGACTTCCCTCTCTGGCCACCATCACAACCCCCATCGCAACCTTCCAATCATGCTACCCCACCACTCATCGCCTTTCCAACTACCACTATCACAACTCACATCGAGGTGACCCACCACTATGGAACAAAAGAGAGAAAGAGATTTAACGTTAGGGTGTGAGAGGCTAAACAAGGCTGATGGCAGAGATGGGAAAGGGGGTGACGACGAGAGAGTGGGAGAATGAAGACCAGTGGAGAGGTGATAGCCGGAGGCGAGAAGCTGTGACTGTGACGGTGGCGGCTGCTGCCGGTGGTTGTAGTGATTTGGATTAGGATTAGGGTTAGCGTTTGGGTTTGGATTTGTTGAAGAAGAGGGTAGTTTGGTATTATTTAAAAAATAAGAGTGTGTAGTGAGATAGAATCAAACTTTTCAATTTTAGTGTGGTGTGAACTGAGTTAATAGGAGAATATAGTGTGAACTGACAGGTTTAGTGGTGTGTAAATAGAATTACTCCGGAAAAATAGAGATAGCGATGTGACAACTTATAGTGACTTTTTGACTTTTTAGTTAAAATGTATAGTTGACAAAGGAGATAGTGTTATTCCCTGAATAATTGAATAGTATAGTGCTTTTAGGCACGGGGAATTTCGCTAGTATTTATACAAATCAGCATCTAAATAATCATTATCACCAAAACAAACCCTAAACTAAACAAACCAACAGATTCAAATCCTAATAATCCTTAGATAAACAACCAACAGATTCAAATCCTAAAAACCCTTAAGCAAATAAACAATGTGGTAAATTGAACCAAAACATGTTTGGTTTGTTCTTTCTTCATTCGAGTCCTTTGCGGGTTTGTACCAACTCGTTTAACCCGCATAAGTAAGCAGGTTTAATATTATGGTCAATTTATGGAATGTTGAATTTTTTAAATTAAAAAATTATTTGACAAAAGTTTAAGGTTTGAATTAAAATAAAGTATTAAATTTGAAATTTATTATTTTTAAATTGTATAGTTTAATTTTTATAATGTAGTGGTGATAGTGTGATGGTGATGATGATGGTGATGGTAGTAAAATGATAATAATGGTTATGGTAACAATGACAACGATGATGAATATGATGATAGTGGTGGTGGTAGTAGCATGGCGGTGGCGGTGGCAGTAGTAAAATGATGATGTTGCTTATGACAACAAAGACATTGGTGACAAAGGTGAAGGTGATAGTAGTAGTGGTAGTAATAATGGTAGTGGTAGTAGCTAGGAATGGCAACGGGGCGGGGCTGGGCTGGGGACTACACTCCTCGTCCTCGATCCTCGAAAGTGATAAATTTCTCGTCCCTGCCCCCGATCCTCGGCGGGAAGCCCGTCACCCCCTACTCCCACCCCCTAACGACGATTGGGTATCCCCGACTCCGAAAAATCTATAATAACAGTAGCATATCAGAAATATATATATACATATCTTCAAATTAAAAAATAGTATATCTGTTAATATATCCTATTCAAACTCCACACAAAGGATATTCAAATAGCATATTCAAGCTCCACTCAACATATCTGTCAACATATCTTCAAATAGCATATTCCATCCAACAATCCTATATTCTATCCATTTAGAAACCGTAACCTATTCAAGCTCCACACAAAGGAGAATTGAGCAAGTTGCAAAGAGAATAATTAGTCCCAAGCACAGCCCACAAGGGATAGGCTACCCAAAAAATAAAATAAAATAAAAAAACAAATCCATTACAATATAAAAAACTAAGCAGTTAAATAGCAGCCACAATAAAAAAAAAACCAAATCCATTGTGAAAAAAAAAAACAACATTGTTTCTCCAATACTCTAATATAGCCACACCACAACTTTCATCATCTCCTTCAACTTGAATTCCTGTTAAATAACAAAAGAAAAATAAATAAATAATCAATATTAATAATAAGATGTAAAAAATGTTAACAATTAAAACAAAAAAGATAACAACTAACACAAAAGTGGCACACGAGTCATCCGAGTCGATCTCATCATCATCATATATCGTCGCATAGCCCACCGATTCCAATGTTGAATTTCCTAAAGTATTCCCACACAACACTAGTTGTTATTTAAAACTTTTTGCCTAGTACAACTCTTATAGTGATCATGCAAATGCCTGGTTCCATTTTTTGAATCACCTCCAAGATGCTTATTACAATAATTACATATTGCCTTCCATACCCCCATTAACTTGTTGTTTCTTAAAGTGTTCATACATAACACTAGGTTTTCTTTTAGTTCCTCCATGAGTATTAGACTCTTCTTCTAAATCAATAACATTTTGATTAGAGAAGGGAGACGGTGAGTTGGTAACTGGCAATGATTGTTCTGAGGCCTCGCTCTCAACTGGTACTTGAGAGTTAACATCTGACATTTATTACCTTTATAAAAATAACATGAAATAAATAAACAGAGGCAGCATTATGTAATTCTAGAATTATGTAGTAGTACTAAAATGATAAGTAAACAGAGGCAGAATTGTGTAATTCTAGAATTATTAATCCCAAGCCTAATAGTCTCTCATGTAATCTACTCCAATGAAACAAACACAACATGAAAGCTAGTAGTACTAAAATGATAAGTAACAACATTAGAAGAACATTAGCAAAGACTAAATCCATGATCCAAACACATCCTAAAAATCAAAACTTTGGAAGAACAGTGGCAGAGACTAGTGAAATTAAACTGCATCTCTTCTAAATTGGACTCAGTTTATGTGTATCCATGACAAAATGAAAATAAAAAAATAAATAATAGATTCAAGATTCTCAGCACACATTGAACAAAATAATAGATTCAAGATTCAAAATTCAAGATTCAAAATGAATAATAGATTCAAGATTCAAGATTCAAAATAAATAATAGATTCAAGATTCAAGATTCAAAATAAATAATAGATTCAAGATTCGCATAACATCCATGACAAAATCAACACACATTGAGATTATCAACACACATCCATATCAACACACATTGAGATTATCAACACACATCCATATCAACACACATCCATGTCCTAGATTATTGTACGAACACGAAATAATCTTCTCGTATAATCCTGTTGATCAAGTTTGCGCTCCTCCAAACGTTGTCGTTTTACTCCCTGAAAACACAAACGTGAGCTAGTCGGCGGGTGTAAGCTGGATACCTCTCCGATACCTAAGTCAGCAAAATAGACAAATAGACAAAAGCTCTGTGTATTCGGGAATCAAAGTTGTGTTACCTGTACTTAGGTTATGTTGTGAGCTTTTATAGTTTTTGCCTAGCACAATCCTAGTAGGACTCTTATTCCTCCATGTAGAGTCCTCATAGGAATCACACTCCTGAAAGATAATGCTTATCCTTCAACACCCCTTTCACTGCTTAAACTAAGTGAGATGGTTTTACCCTGGTTGGATAACAGTATGACTGAGCTAACACTAGCCCCTTTGTCATACTCAATCCAGCGCCTTCATATGCGACACACAGCTCAACTCTCGTTCACGTGTACCTTGGTTTTGTTTGTTTGGACCGAGCTAACTGCAGCAAGCTTTGATCGAGCTAATAAGAGCAAGGTCCTCTTTAAGGAGCCAAAACACCTCGGCTCCAAATACTATGGCCGTGGTAACTGTAACAATGCTTGGACCGAGCTAACAGCGAGGCCCACTTTGGTAAGCCCTTTTCACCACGGTCCATAGAACGGCCCATTACTACGCCTGGGCCTAGCTCAGCCCTAATGCGCATAAAAACTCCCTCTCAATTATCAACACACATTTTGGGACTCAGTTTATGTGTATCCATGACAAAATGAAAAAAAAAAAAAGAGATCGAAATCCCTAGATCGAAAAAAACAAGAGGTCGAAAAAATATATATATACACTCAGATCAAAATCCCTAGATATAGTTTAACGAGAGAGAGAGAGAGAGAGAGAGAGAGAGAGATACCCTTTGAAAATCAGTAGTGAGAGAGGATTGGCGGTGAGGGATGAGCGGTGGTGAACATCAGCCGTCATGTTTGAGAGAGAGAGAGAAAGAGAGGGAGATGAAAGCCTATACAGCAGCGGTGATGAGGGAGGAGCGGCGGTGAGAGAGAGAGAGAGAGAGCAGCCCTAGCCTTGTGTTTGTGTTGTGTGTTATTGTGTCAACCAAACCCTAAACACACACATATATATAAACAGGGGCGTAATCATAATTTTCCATCGGGCCTAAACGAGGCAGGGTCGGGTCTGGGGATTAGAAATGTATCCTTGTCCTCGACTGAAATATCATCCGGGATTGATTTTTGAATACCATCCTCGGCACATTGGGGATATTTTTCAAGGAAAACCCGCTCAATTCGGGGTCAGGGGGTCGGGTCCCTGTCGTGTCGGGTTTAGCTTGCCATCCCTAGTAGTAGCTGCAGTGGCATGGTAGTGGTGGTAGTGGTGGCGACGGTTGTGGTGATGGTAGTAACGGTAGCAGTAGCGATGGTAGTGGCGATGTCAAGTGGCATGATGGTTGTTGGTGGTTGTAGTCGGTAGTAATGATTTTTTAATAGTATATATTGATACTTATGTTTAGTATTTGTAAATTCAGTCAGAATTAAGTAAATTTTATATGATTTAAAATTTTCTTAAGTTTTAACTTACATTTTAAAAGATATTTAAATTTGTAAGTGATATCAATTATGGTTATCAAACAAGCTTAATGGATTATCATTTAATACATTTAGTTTTAAGTGTTGAATTAAGTTATCAAACATCACCTAAAACAAGTTATTTAATATATATAATATTAAATATGAAAATTATTATTTTTTAATTTTATATTGTGATGGTGAGTTGTTAACGGTGGTAGATGAGAAAACAATAATGCCTATAATGCCAATAATAATAGTGGAAGAGATAGAGAGTTATGGTTGTGGTGATTGTAGATGGGTAATGTAGTGGAGATAAAATGAGAGCGATGGCAATGATTGTGGATGGTAATAGTGGTTATTGTGGCAGTGATTATGATAACGGTGACAATGATTGTGGATATGAAGAGTTGTAGTAGTTATTATTGTGGTGGTGGTAATTACAGTGGTGATTGTGGTTGTTGTAATGAAATGATAGTGGTACTTATGGTAACAATGACAATGATGATGAAGGTAATGATTGTAAAAGGGTGTTAGTGGCTGTGGTGGCGGTGATCATAATAGTGGTGGAGGCGATGGTGGTGGTGATGGCAGCGTTGGCAACAGTTGTTAGGTTGTAATAGTTGTGGGTTCCCAAAAAATACCAACTCACTTGGGTCCAACCCAAACAAGTCTTAAGAGTGGGCTGAGACCAACAAGAAAGCCCACCAAACAAATATGTATGAAGCAAATTTCACACCTCTATTAAAGGAAAGCATCACATAAAAGGTAAGGGGGTCTGATCTCTGGACCACAGTACACATACACTTTTGAATTCTTCATCTTCTTTCTTTAATTCAAGTTGCTAATTTCATCATTGAAGTGTTCTTGGCCTGCAACCCCGGTTGTATGGCACCAACTATGTTTATCATTGCAGATTTATGGGGAAAAACTCATCTCTTCGTTGGATCTCTTCAATAATCCATGTGAGAGAATTTTGGGTCTCACAATTGGTGCTGTCTATGGAAAAAATCGAGAGCGTTCAACGAAGTAATTAGCAAACCTAGCTACTATAAGTAAAATTTCAATAGCACTTTAATGGTTGAAACATCAAGGTTAGTGATCTTGTTTTTTGCAACAAAAAACTTTAATTATTGTCAAGCTTACATCAACACAGATCTTCAGGAGTTATTTTTCCTTCTCAATAATTTAATTATTTTAATTGTTATATTTTTCTATGTTATATATATATATATATATATGCATAATTTATAGACATGATGGATGTGGAAACTCTTTATATTTACACTTTTTGGGTAGTTGCAACATAACTACAAAAAATGTGTTGTTTTGGATTAGCTCGGCAACTATGCAATCACAATAGATGCATGATCAGCAAATATTACACAAGCTTGACCAGCTGTGAAGCAGCACCATGATTATCCGCATCGTCAGCAAATCAAAAGACAAAAGGAGTCACCGACCAAAAAATTACATTGATAGTCCCTTTAATTTGCTCATTGTATTGATTTGGTCCCTATAGTTTTACTTGTATCAATTTTAATCTTAAATTTTTTATGTTAAGTCAATTTAGTTCAATTGGTAATACTCCTTTAGAAATTGGATTGAAATCAATGACCAAAATAGTTTGTTCACCATTCTATGACTACTAGATTCAGTTTATATTTGGGTGATTTGAGGGTCAGTAGTTAGTTAATGCCTGCATATCGACATAAACTTTTACACGAGTTGTGTTCATGTTATGCGTGTTCAACCATAACACAACCTATTAAATATTTAAGTTATCAAGTCGTGTCGTATTCATGTTCTTGTCAAACAATGACCAAACATAACCCTTTAATTATGTGTATGGTTTGAGTTATGTTAACAAGCTGCATGTTAAAATTCTACCCCTAACTTGAGCAAAGTGCAAGTTTTTGAATTATGAACCAAGTAGGATTCTTTTTTTTTGATTACTAAATGAGTAATGCTATAACCACTAATTAGTGTACTAAATAGAATGTTTGCATACTAATAATTTAGATTAAGGTTTAACATTTATCCATAAGTTCAAACCCCAAACATTTCTCGAGAAATTTAGGGTTGGACTTATCTTATGTTAAGATTTTAACATGAGAAAACTTGAGGGACTTATAGGGTCTACCACATGCCTCATTTCAATAATCCGAACAGTTCATTTTGTAGCACTCTTAATATATATCACCCATAAAAAAAAAAATTAGTTTGATCTAATAATTGTAACATTTTCATTTTATCACATTTGTCACAAGAATAATGGGCGACAAATATATTTTTGAAATAGACCATCCATTTTTTTAGAGATAAATGCTATAAAATGAAAAAGGTTATGATTATTGAATTAGCTTAAATTTTTTCACGGATGATATACATTGAGAGTTCTACAAAATGAACGGTTCAGATTATCGAAGCGAAACCCGTAGTCGGCCCTACGGACCCCTCAAGTTCTCTCATATTGAGATCTCAACATGAAAGAAGCTAATGTAGGACACGATTTTAAGAATTTTTATATTTTTAGTTTTAATATTTTTGATATATTATTTCTTAATTTATTTTTTTTGGAATTAGATTTTGACTAGGATTTAAAGTAGTTTAGAATTTTAGTTTCCTATTCTCTTAGGTTTCCTAATTTGTGTTGATTTAAGTTCCCTAATTTATTTTAGAATTACTTTTCCTACAAGTATTGGGTTTAGTTTATTATAAATAAGCCTACAAGCATATGTAATAGAATTAATTCAATCAATAATATTAAGATATTTTCTCCTCCTTGTGGATTCAAGATTCTATTTTTCTCGTGGATTCGAGAGACCCTTTTGTCTACTAGAACGATAGCTAGTCCTTGTGTATTTCGTTGTGTCAAGTGGTATTAGAGCATGGATTCGCCTAACTTAATGACATAAGACAATGGAGCACACACAATCCCTATTGACATTGATCGTAAGGTGGAAGCCATATGGGATGCGATTGAGAAACATCAGCTAGAGGTGCATGAACTTCGCAATGAGTTTTGTAATCTACTTGCCGATTTGGGACTAATTGTCAATCAGAGGCAACTAATAGTTGATAGCAATTGCACCAAACGATGCACCCGAGGCCAACCTGTTAGCTTACGTTATTTTGCAAAAATTTCATATTTTAACGGTTCAACTAGTTTCAAAAACAAGATTTTCTTGATTAGTTGCTTGATCTTGAAATTTTCTTTGAATTCATGAAGATTCCTCATGAAAAGAAGGTTATATTTGCATCTTACAAACTTGATAAAATTGCATTGAAGTGGTGGAATGGATTACACGATTATCGAGTTTGCAAAGGTAAACACAAAATTCATTCATGGTTAATAATGAAAGAGTTTTTAGCAACAAAATTTTACTGTCATGATCATGAAGATATATTGTCATATACAAATCAAGATACTTCCATGGAGTTGGTAAAAATTTGCAATGAAATTGTAGTTGCGAAAGAAAAGAATTCAGATCCAAATATTATTTGTGGTGAGATTGTTTGTAAAACTAATGAAGAAGATACAAAGTCTTGTTCGAGTGTTGATGATGCATCAACACATGCTAATTTGAATATTGGGGAGAAAGTTTTACAAACAAATCATAAAATTATTGAGGAAGAAGAAGATCTGATTGAGCCCAGTAACAAAGAGAAAATAGAAGAAGAGATAATACAACCGCTGCATGGAACAAAGAAATTGGTTGATACTACACTTGATATTCCAAGGTTGATAGTTGAAGGGTCAATTGAATCTGAGATGGTGCAACATCAAGAGAGCATGCAAATTCTACACAAAGTAAATTTGGTTGATTTTCTTGGTGTAGAGCAATTTAATTTGATTTTCAATGCTTGTCTAATTGATCTTGTCAACCAGTTGAAGCATATAGAAAATAACTTTCAGAAAGTAGACTTTTCTACATACAACTTTTGGAAGAGGGGCAAGCAACTGAAATATTCAAAATATCTCTTTATTTGGCATGGAAGATG